ATAGTATTTAACTAAAACTTTATTACTTATGTTTTGCCCCCAGATACAAGCACTCTTCAGCATTAAATTACATTGTGCGCACACAACCACAACAGTTTACATCTGCTCAGAAATATAATTACATTAAAAATAAATAAATTCCTATTTCCTAGTTTAGTTGACTCTTAAATAGTTTCCCTAGGGGAAAAAAAACCAAGTATTTTGTTTTCTTTAAGGAATTGGCATATATAAATGAACTGCTGTATTCATTTAAACTTTGAGGAAATCTGAAGACTTTTTTGGTATTTTTTCTAAAATGCAATACAGATATGTGCTAATCTCTGTTCATATAGTGAAGGGACGGAATGGCAGATGCAGTCTTTCGTAAATGTAAACTGTACGATATTCTAAATGGAAAAACTGACACTGACAATTGTTTACAGGAAAGAAAAAGTCAAGAAAGATGCTGAAGAACATCTACTTGTAAAAGGAAAGTGTTGTTCAACACAAAAATGAGACCTAGAGATTCGAAAACACTTATTTTACTGTTTAAAAAAAACAAAACAAAGAAATAATAGGCAGAGAGTCTAGACCAATTAAAACAGAGGCAGCTGTAACAAAAATGGAACACAGTACAATGATTTGGCCTCTTAGAGGAAATGACTCATTAAAATAAAATTTTACAAGTCTTCATGTCTATAATAATATATAAATGCCCCAAATATCAAAAATATGAAGTCAGGATTTTCCCCCTTAGGTTTAGCAATAAACTGTCAAACCTGTTGAATATACTTGCTTTTCTAAGCCTTGTAATCAGCAGAGCATGCTACACAAGTACATGCGTGCTAGAATTTCACCATGAGAATTACAGTTCTCATCTCAAACTAGTTGTTGCCTTTTTACCCATATTTATACACATTTCATTTCCATTATAAGACACTTAAGACCTTTCTAGTGGTACATTTTAATCAACATATTACATAAAAAAGGATCTTGACTTCTTAGGTGAACCTTTTTAGTACTGTAACATGATGGGTTTAACTAAGCAGTTGAAACATAATATGGTAACTACATTGCACTGTTTAAAACTAATTCACAGCTGTAGGAAAATGTTTGACTTTTAAAATACAACCTATGTGAGACTGCAGAGTTATGAGCAGTAAAACGCTAGGAAACAGTGAATGAACAAATAAGATGAGTTTCATCAGTGGCCGTTCATTAGCTTGCCTTTAGCGACCTGGAAGAAGTTGTCCTCCTTGAGTTTCAGATGCTCTGGTGAGTCTAGTCGTTTCTTAGCTTCCTCGATATCGCCTTGAATTGCTGCAATAAGTGCCTCTGCAGAGAGAATATTCCAGGGAAAGATGATGGAAACTGCTGCCCTGCTTGTCATTGCTCCTTTGCTCAGCTTCTCCTAACATCTCATAGGCTGGCAGTGTCTCTGGCATTGGGAAGATGCCCAATAAACTCTTTCCATCCTTTCTCCCAGATGCATGGAAAAGTCAACAGTACATGAAAGATGTCCCTAATCTTGCAACTACTTAAAAGAAAGTCATCAGCAAAAAGGTACACTGTAAATACTAGGTGGAAGAAACAAATAGCCACCATCAATTCTCTCCAGTATTTACACTTGTAAAAGCAACTCAACATTAGAATTAAGACTATCACACTGCACTAAGATACTGGATACTATTTGTTTCAAATATTTCGATTTACTCTTTCTTGTACTGCAAGAACTGCAAAGCATCCATTATTCATCATAATATTAATTCTTATTTGTTCCTTAAAATATGAACAGGAAATAAAGATTTCACTAACTTCATACTGCTGGAGAGACAGCCAGCATGTCTCTAGGTTCCATCATTTACTATGTTACCCTGGGAAAATTACTTCACCTCTCTGTGCCAATTTCCTCATCTGCAAAATGGGCAAAATAATTCCTCATATGATTGTTGTAGGGATGAAGTGAATTGATTCATGTAAGGTACTTAAAGCAGTGGTCAGCACATAGTAAATGCTCAAGTATCATCTGTCCTGCCACGGTTATTAGGAGCAGCAGTAGAACTCAGAAAGCTGCAGTAATACTTAAGAAGATCAAAATAAGAACTTACCTAAAGAATCAAAATTCTTTTCTGGTCTGAGGTAGCCAACAATGGCCACGTTGAGGATTTCTCCATAGAAGTCCTCTTTGAAGGTGTGCATGATATGCGTTTCCTACAGTCAAGAAATGTTAAAAAGATTACTATCAGATTACAGAATGCCTGAGATTTGAAATACATCTTCATGTTTATGGTGAGGTAATTTAAATGAAACAATCAACCCTCACTACAGTTTTAAAGACAAGTTAAAATCTAAGAACAGTTTTTCCTGAATTCTTCCGTCTCTCATGTTCTTGACTCTGACCTTACATGTAAAAATTATCACTGAGTAAGGCAGATGCTATACCACAAATCTGGCGCGATTTGGTGTTTTTAGAAAAAGCTAATGTGCACAAAAGTAATTAAGAGTCTTACCAAGGCGAAAAACTAAGTAAAGACACCAAGAGGGAAAGAGCAAACAAACTCTTCTTCAAAATACGCTATTTCATTTAGTGAATTAAAAAAAAAAAAGGCAACACAGTGGGAGAAGATATTTACAATACATAGTTCCAACAAAAGACCTGGATCTAGAATATATTAAGAATTTCTTTAAGTCAATAAGCGACAATCCAATTGTTTAAAAAGGGGAAAAGACCCGAACAGGCAGGTCATGCATGTCCATTATTGGCAAAAAATAGAAGAAAAACTCTCCTCCCATCAATGGAAAACTGATGTTTCTCCTAACTATGGAAGGAACTCCAAAGCACTCTTTTACTGGCTCTATAGAAATAGTTCTGTTATCTGAGTAGCTAATAAGGAAAAATTAGTCATGGGATAGACTCCCCTCCCCTTCATTTCCTCCTTCATTCCACAGAAAAATATCTTGTGCTCCTCCATCAATTCTTTTCCTTATCTACTCCAACAAATAACTGTCACATCCTTAATGCAGAAAAATAAGAGAACCACTGAGCACAATGTGAAATATAGTCCTGGGCCATTTCTACTGCTAATAGCAGCCCTTAGCTGGTCTTCCAGCTGTGCTGCACTTCTCTACACACGCTTCAGAAAGGATGGAAGTTAGGTCAATGTTAACTGTTTCTGCCACATACCTGAGCCAACCAAAAGATTCAGCCACATCTAGCAGAAAATTAAGCACTTGAGCTGTGTGGGTAGAGTGAAAAGAACACAAGAATACGTATACCCTCAAAGGGGCTTCAGAGGGAAAAAGGTATCACCTTGCAATTTTATTAGAAAGCATCATCCATGTAATAAGCAGTTCTAACTTAACAGGGTGACCAAACAGAGTAGATGACCTACATTAACTATAGTGAGCGCATCTTTATTTCACTTTTACTTCTAGTAAAGGTTAATACATAAGTAGGTATAAAAATTAATTACTGTAATTTTGGTTTGTAACTCCACTTTCTACTTTCTTCACGATTTAAAAGATAAATGCAGCAGCACTATTTACAATAGCCAAGACATGGAAACAGCCTAAATGTCCATCAACAGATGACTGGATAAAGAAGAGGTGGTATATTTATACAATGGAATACTATTCAGCCATAAAAACTGACAACATAACACCATTTGCAGCAACATAGATGTTCCTGGAGAACATCATTCTAAGTGAAGTAAGCCAGAAAGAGAAAGAAAAATACCATATGAGATCGCTCATATGTGGAATCTAGGAAAAAAAAAAACATAAATACAAAACAGAAGCAGACTCATAGACACAGAATACAAACTTGTGGTTGCCAAGGGGATGAGGGATGGGAAGGCACAGACTGGGATTACAAAATGCAGAATAGATAAATAAGATTATACTGTATAGCACAGAGAAATATACACAAGAACTTGTGGTAGCTCACAGCAAAAAAAAAAAAGTGACAATAAGTATATGTATGTTCATGTATTAACTGAAAAATTGTGCTCTACACTGGAATTTGACACAACACTGTAAAATAACTATAACTCAATAAAAAATGTAAAAAAATTAAATTAAATTAAAAAATAAATGCAAAAAATTTTATTAATGTTATCAGACACACATTGTATAAAGATATAACCTGTGAGTTTTTGTATAGTATTAAGTTGGTATAAATTCAAATTAGATTTTATAATTTTAGGATGTTGAATGCAATCCCCCTGATAATCACAACTAAAATATCTATAGAAAATACACAAAAGGAATTAAGAAGGGGATCAAAGTGTGTCACTACAAAAAAAAAAATAACTAAACACAAAGACAGTAATGGAGGAACTGATGGGCAAATAAAAGCTATGAGGTATATTAAAAAAAATAGCAAAAATAGAAGAAGTCCCTACCTACCAGTAATTTAAATGAAAATAGATTAAACTCTCCAATCAAGACAGGGATTAGCAGAATGGTTAAAAAACCCCACAAGATCCAACTATACTTCCTTTACAAGAGACTCACTTTAGATCCAAAGACAAGTAAATCCAAAGAGAAAGGATGGAAAAGTTATTCCAATCAAATAGTAACTAAACACCGCATTTTTAAAACCCTTCAAATATGCTGCCAAAATTGTAGTATTTGGACTACATTGTGATCACCACTGATGAGCTCTATCTTCATATTACTCTAAATCATCACCTCATTCTCAGGTACAGAGTGAAATACAATCCTTACCATGGACTTTTTCGTATTCTTGTAGTATGGGTTCCAGCCTATGCTCACCACCATCTTGTGGACATCTCCACTTCCAACACTGGCCCAACCGTAATAGATGCCAGTAGATACATCAGCTGGCAGATTATCTACTACGTGTTCAGGAAAGTTAGCTACCAACAGAAGAAAATATGCTAGTGTTAGTTTTACATTCAATATTTTTAAAAATCACACACAAAGCTAATCTAAATCGTTCCGGTCACAAGATTACTAGGACTCTGCCTACAACGATCAATCCCAACATTTCATAATCTGGCTGGGAATTCTTTCTCCCCTCCATACCGGTAGGTTAGGAAAAAGGTATCAGATTACGGTAAACGTATAAGGGTACTAGATTATAGTATGCGTATAAAGCATTCCCCTGAAACGTACTCATGGTAGAAGAGAACAGGTACATGAAGAGCTGGATTTTTTAGCCCCGGTCTTTCCTAAGGAGGTTCAAAAACTCTTGAGAACGATTCTTATTTTCGAAATATCTGCTTTAACAGGTCTAGGGGCAGTCCTGGAACGTATTTTTAAGGATGAATTAAGCATACCTTCAGATTCTGAGTAGGAAAACTAATGTGGAGGGGGGAGGGATTGGGGGGGAGGGATCAGGGTGGGCGTAGCTCAGTGAAAGAGTGCCTGCTTAGCATGTACGAGATCCTGGGTTCAATCTTCAGTACCTCCATTAAAATAATCTTTTTTAATAAATGTATACAGACCAAAAAAGATAACCTGGTTCTCACTCAACTGCCTGTGTCATAATCTGGAGACAATCTACGAAAGATTTAAAGAAAACCTTACAGCTGGCGTGAAAATTTAGCCTATCTGCCTCACATTACGTTTTCCACAGGGCAAAACACGCGCCACGTTTGGTAGCTTTATCACGGCTGGATAGGGAGGCGGGAAAAGGGGATTCCGAAACTCATCCCCGGCTTCCTGCCCTCACCTCCCCTCAAGCCAGGTCCCCGGAGAGCTCGAAGCCACGGGCAGGGACGCGCTCCCTCAGTCCGACCAAAGGTCCTCCGCCTCAACAAAGAGGAAGCGGGGCGGAGGGTAAGGTGTCACCTCTGTCCGTAGCCCCACGGCCCGGCTCGGAGCCCCCTGGCTGACGTCCCTGCTCCCAGGTGACCCGGCCCAGGGTGGGAGGGGGTGTCCACGCCCTCCCGCTCTCACCTGTGGGGATGCCCAGCTGCTTGGAGCCGCGGCCGAAGCCCCGCACCACCCGGCCGCGGCAGAAGTACGGCAGGTGCCTCATGACGCCGTCCGCTTCGGCTGC